AGCCCAGGGAGAAGAGATCAGCACCTCCCTCTCCACTTCCCCTCCTCAGGAAGCTGCAGAGAGCAATGAGGTCGCCCCTCAGCCTCCTTTTCTCCAAACTAGACAAACCCAGAGTCCTCAGCCGCTCCTCACAGGACATGCCTTCCAGCCCTTCCACCAGCTTTGTTACCCTCCTCTGGATGCATTCAAGGACTTTCACATCCTTCTTAAGTTGTGGGGCCCAGAACTGCACGCAGTCTGAGTCAGTGTTTACTTGTTCATAACTAATATTTAGCCTAGAAAAGGCAAGAATCTTCAAGTTTTTCCTTTTTTTGATTCTATTTCAAATACAATGTCATTTCAGTCTTTTGAATTCTTTTGGTTTGATTTTCTCCTTTGCAGACGTCAGTAGTTTGAACCCTAGATTTCCTGTGCAAGTCCTCTTTAAAAATGACTATAGACTCTTCGTTAAGATTCATAAATAGTTCAAAATATTTCCCAGAGTAATTATTTAAAATAATTTATGGAGGCTTTAGAAGCGATGTTTTAAGTCTAAATATATTCGCAGCCCTCACCCAAAAGAGGAATTAAAAAGTTATCAAGAATCTGAAGATGAATAAGACAGGAGGTCCAAATGGACCTATACTCAGATTTTAAGAGATTCACAAGAGTTTTAGTATTTACATTAGTATACAATAAATAATAATAATCTTATGAAAGGAGCAGTTATTCCCTCTTCTGGAGAGATGTATTAGAACAGGAGATTTAGTGAGACGTGCACCCAGACCAAATAGGCTTTTTTGGAAGCAAAGATACTGCAATTATATTAGGAAAATTCTTGATCTGGTACAAAACGCGCATCATCCAATTACCTTGTTTTACCGTGTTGGTGACTTTTCTTGGTTTTACTGAACAGAATGGAGCTCTCTAAGTGTGGTGCATCAAAAAATGGCTTTGATGGTATTTCCATTCTACTTGGACATCAGATTATATAGATCAAGAATGTTGCACAAAAAGTGGATTTCTAAAAAACACATTGGATAAAAGATATATCCAGGCAAAAATAGCCTAATATAACTCCCTTTCAGGCTAATCTTGAGATACCCATGTAAAATATGAGAATTTCCTTTCCTGGACTTCTTATTTATCCCTTGATGAAAACCAAAAAAGTTCTCACTAGAACCTGTCAAGCACATAATCCTGTTTAGATCAGAGCAATTATCACCATATTAGACTAACTCCCTTTGAAAGGGAATACACGACTAGACATCGTAATTGCTACATAGAAATTCCTCTTTTCCAGAAACTTTCTGATAGAAAAATATACACTGATCTCTAGGAAGACAAAAAATGATTTCTAGTCATGTTCAGTGTTATTTCAGAAAGCTGATTCTTCCCTTAGTAGCAGATCACATGAAAATTTATAATTCTTAGAAGTCTGGACTAGAAGTCTATTTCTGCATACTACGTTCATACATTATGCGGCATGGTGACAAACCGTTTTTCATCCATTCTTTTTTCTTTTTCTTAAGCAAGTACAAGTTAGAACTGGTTTTGTATCAATGCAAAAACTTCTTGTAAGGTCTTTCCCATACTAGCTTCTACCTCTGTTGTGATACGGATATTCTCTGTGTTTTGTGCACCATCCTCCTCAAAGGCCCACATTTGATGCCACTCACACACACTCGGATCTCTCCAAGATTTTTCTACAGTGTGAACTGCAAATAGAATTTGTCTCCAAAGCACAGATGATTTGCAGGGCTCTCATATTGTGTCACACTTCAACTTGTTCATTGAAAGAAGAAATAGGGATCAGAGACAGAACTGCACATCCTTTGAAGACTGAGCCAGACCTCCAGCTAGCTATTTTGCAGAGAACTTCAGAGCTGGAATACTGAGTCTTTGCTATTCTCAATGGAACTGTATTTGCTTAGGCCACGGGACTGTTACCTTTAAAAATGAATAGTTAGAAAGCTGATGGAGCCGTATGTGGTCTAGAGTTTTATTTCTTTATAGATAAGATGTTTGGTTTATTTTTTTATTCGGCATGTTTTCCACGGTAATAGACTCTGGACTGCTTTGTTATTACACCAGTTTTTATATTTCAGAGCAGAAGATGGTTGTTTTTAAGGGCTAAGTGAGGGAGACAAGAAAGTAGTATTTGAAAATACTCAATGACATTTGTCCTCTCCACAAAACCAAGCAAAATTAAAACCATTGTTTAAAAAGAAAAATAAAACAACCAACCAACTACTAGAAAGTACCCTTCTTTTCTTCTACCAGTTTTTCCAGAACTGACTTTTTGGAAACGTTTTTGCAGGTTTTTCTTTAGCAAGTTACTTACGGGTCTGTCAACAACATAATTGCTGTAAACTGATAAAGAAAAAATACAGGAAAAATAAAGGAACATTATGCTTCCATCTGTGTTAGATGACAGAAAACAGTGTTAAATCTCTACATTCTGCCACTTGGATAGTTTATTGCATTGAAATCGTTATTAAAAGTCTTTGTTACATCTCTTTTGCCATTTCCTTTGAAGTCCGCTGGTTTTGATGCTATTGATCAGTGTACGATCATTGTTTTTTGTATGTATAACTCCCTAGGCTTGTTCATATGGATTCGTACAAAATTGAACTATGAAAGCACATCTGCTTTCTCTTAACAAATTTTACTTGCTAGTATAATTAGATAGAGAACTCAAATTTATGTCTTTATTATAACAAACATAGAACAGATAAAACAAGATTTAAAAATAATTTTAGGAGTCTTTACAAACATTTTTGTGTTTTGCTCTGTGCGGTAATGATGCTTCATTTTTGAAGGAAATGCTTAATGCTTAGTTAAACTACATTTCAGGGTGGTAGTATTGTGGGAGTTAAGTCATTCAATCACTGATTTTCTGTGAACTTATTCTTGTTGGAATAGGATGTACAGTTCAAAAAGTTTAATGTGAAAGAGAGTCCAAGTGCATAAAGAAATTGGACTAAAAGTAGGTTCAAATCAGCTCAGTACAGTCCATGTTCTGCCTTACTGCCAGAGTAGTAATAGGAAATAGAAGAGCACTCACAGTAGTTCTGTATTTAATGTTACCATTCTGGAACATGAGGAAGCACTGCAGAATGTGTGACTACCGTTTACCTTTTTGAGGATTGATTTCAGTAAAAAATGATAAACCCTCACTTCTTGTAAGTCATGTTCTTCACCGCCAAGAGAAATTTTGGCTTATTTGTATAATAATGGCTTATTTGTAAATTTTTTTTCCACCGAGACTACTGAATCAACTACTCACTGTACTCCACATATGCTCTTAAAAGAAAACAAAACGGAGAGAAGTTGCCAGCGACCTTGTTTTATTTAGGAGCACATAAAAAAAACTTATGCCACAGCTTTGGTTGACTGGAATGATACGCATACTTAAATTTTAACAGTATTTTTTTTTTAAATGGTAAACAAGTGTACATTCAGTTGTGTGCAAGACCAACACTGTTAATAACACAATTACACTACAGAAAATGAAATGTTTTAAGTATATAGCTGTGAAACCCTTCATATTTTTGGTATTTAACCAGCATTTTTAGAATTAGTCTGCTGAAGTGTGGTGTGGTAAACACTGGAAACAGACCCTGTGGCAAAGTGAATGTAATTATAGTTGCACTGGCTCTGGACATGAGTAAGAGCCCTACTTAAAAGTATTACTTGGAAGCTATGTCTTCTGCAACTTAAATGTGAAAGGAATTATCTAACTTGCAGTTTATGAAGTCAGTTATTAATAATCAGCCACTTGAACTTACAAAAGTGGACAATATTTTCATACACTTGGGATAATTATAATCATTCAATAATTTTTCATGACACACATAAAATCACAAGAACTGCCAAGACTGGATGATTACTCTATATAACCCAATAACTCGAAGTTCCACTGACTTACTAATGCTTCTCACAGCTCTTATAAAATCTTTAATGTTTTTTTTTTATGAGAGCTGTTGTCAACCACCTAGATTGGAAGGAGAGAGGTATGAAAATTCCCAGGCCATGATGAATCCTGAGTATTTTGCAACAGTAAGCACTGAGTTCTGGTAGACCACAGTCTCTCTCTACTCTGAAGGGATGATAATAAAGCATAGATGGAATATTTACAATTTTTAGGATACACTTACTAGCAGACCAGCTGTAACCATTTCTCTTTTTATAAAACCTGTTTTTTAATATCACCTTTTTGTAGAAACATATGGCAAAGCAAATAAAACTGTCTTTTTAGTAAACAAAAGAAGTTTTTGATAAAAACATATAAAAGACAGTTTTATCCGCTGGATGATATACAGGTACCCGTATACAAGCTTGTATACTAAACAACAAAAGAGAAGGTGTATCTGAATGTTACAGGTCTGATGTAAACACAGAATAAAAATAAGAACAGTCAAAAGTGACAATACATTAACTCACTCCATCATGCCTAATTATTGCAGCATATATGATATAAAATAATTCAAATGCAGAAAACATCTGCTTATCTTCAAAACCAGGCAAAAGAGATCTCTTTGGAAATGTATTTAAATTAATAAAAAGCTTCTAGCCAAGATGTGTTACATTTCAGCCCACAAAAGAAATTCACAGGGAGATTATAAACTCCTGAAAATAGAAGTTTATAATGACAACAGACTGCCTTCATTACAGTGACATCAGCAGAGCCACTGTAACACATACCACTGCATTGGTATTTTCTTTTTGTACAAGTTTACAGTAAATATTTGAAGACACTGAAAAGGTTCATGTGCAGCTTTTCCATTAAAGGTGTGCAGTTCATCAAACTGATAAATAAATATATTTCCTGAAATGTTTTAGAAAAAAGACCTTTGACCTAAATATGTTGTGTGCACACTAGTTAACCATATATAAACTAAAGATTCTTAAGTGCACTATGAACTGCAGACACGAATGGCTTTTGAAAGCTCAGTAATTTAGTTGAACGCACATTAAAAATTGTTTAAGATGTTGCTTCCAGTTTTGTCTGATCAACTTCATTTCTTCTCAGAAAGAGTTTCACCACTAAGTTCTACATCTAGTGAGGCCTCTTCAAGAGATAGCTTAACATTAGATACACAAACAGAAGATCCAGGGGTAGCTGTACAGATAAAGAAAAAAAAAAAGTATTAGGTTTTACCCTTAAGAATATCCATGCTAAAAAGCATCAAAAGCAAGAAAAATGCAAGTTACCTACCACAGAAACACACAGAAAGCTACATTAATGAGATCAGAAATGAAACGGGATTTTGTTCTAGAGGCCCTCAAAACAGCACAACTATCCAAAAGCAGACAGTGTAGCTGGCCAACAGTTCAGACTGAATATACTACTGATTAAATGCATCATCATGTTATTGGCAGCTTCAGTCAGAACCTAGTCATGGAGCTCTATGGCAGATGTTTAGAAAACATCTTAGAAATTCTGCGATTTAAATAAATAAATTTCCTTTGCTTGTCTTACTTTGAGATAGCTGGAAATACTGCCATACTTCAACACAAACCAAAATGCCATGAATTTTCAGGCCATAGAAATTCTTTCAAACACTTCATAGAATAAGAGAAAGTAACTATTAGCACAGTTTTACTGCTAAAACTATTGAGTTCTTGCTGACCCGTAAAATGATCCCACTTATATCATACACAGGGAATGTTAAAAAATAGCTGCCCTAAGAATTTATGTAATATATAAGAAAGATCCTACTGCTGGAAATAATGTAATGAAGTTAGCCATTCTGCCTCTGACAGAAGTTACTTACATAAGGTTGGTTTCTCTGTTGCTAGCCTTTCAGGCAAAGTTTCAAGTGGTGTTGGTTGAATTTTTGCAGGGGTATATGTATTTAAAGAAATTTTTCTTCCTGACAGTGGAATCATGTAAGCTGAAGAAGCTGAAATGAGGGGGGAAAAAAAAAAAAGATACACATAACTAATAATAAAAATACTCTCACCTGAGCAAAACGTCAAAAATAGTAGCCACAGAACTGTGTATCTGTCCAACAGTATAGATGCCACAGTTACACAACCTGCAGCTCAGCTACCGATTTTTGACTCTAGTGTCAAAACATCAAAGCATGAAAGACAAATCTAAAAATCTCCCTTTTACCTCAGAAAGTGACACAATAACTTCATGCTGCTTAGGCAGCTAAGCCAAATTTCAGGAACAGCTGCCTTGCCAGAAGACTGGCAAAAGCACTAGTGCTACTTCTCATAGGTTATGAAGATTGCACTGCAATAGGCATTTAGTCCACAACACCTATGAAAAGTGCATACAATAGATTATGCTCTAGACAACTTCCAAATGTTATAGGAAAGCAGAAGGAGAACAAAGCACCTATGGCCCCAATGTGTCAGGTCTAATTTCCAACCACTCCTTTGTAGAAAGGTGAAAACCAAACCACCACAGAAGTATGATAGGTTTTTAAAATATTTTTTCATCCTCTGTAGTTCTGAATTCTGATATGATTTTGAAGAGACACGAACTTCCTAACCAGTGTAACAAAGCATTTTAAATAGCTGAGAACTTTGAAATACCTGTAAGCCTCCCTGTGTTCTTTTTCAGTAACATCAGTTGTCTTAAATTGCTTATCTTCCTTCTCAGATATAGGCGGCCTACCCTATCAAATTAGCTCTGATTAAAATCTAAATGGTATAAAACTAAAATAACAGTAAAAAAGGAAAAATCCTAACATCTAGGTAACCTTTGTATGAGTACTAGCAAGTACAAATTTTCTGATCAAAGCATGAGTCTTTAGGCATTTCCTCAAGAAGAACAATTTTCAATCACTTGACACATGAATTACAAGCATCCCAATATGTGGTAAATCTGACCTAACTGAAACTCTTTCCAAAGACACAGCAGTAGAATCACAATGAGAAGTCATCTTCCCAGAGACATGCAGATGGATAGAACTCAGTTTGCATTTCATTTCAAGAACACTTAAACATTAAACATACAGCACAAACTACTAAAAAACTAAGTAACTGCAAGACACTTCACAGGAGAAACCCCAAGTAATATTGAAAGAAAGAGGAAGTAACACAGTTTTAAGATGTAAAAGGCTTGTAAAAGGCAACACTACTCTGCTGAGGTTACTGCCAGTACAACAGTACAGTATAAAGCTGGAAATACTCCATGCTCATTTAAAAAGCATTCCTTGTAATTCAGCTGACAGTGTGGACAGTACAGAGAAGTTCTTAATGTGAGGAAATAAACCAATTACGACTTCATTAAATGCTTAATTTACTACCCCAGTAAACAGAGACATCACTTCAATGAATTATTACAGTGTCCATACTGCAAAAGGATACTGCAAAAATTAAAATTATGGTTTATGTACATATTTCATTTTTTAAAAGCACTATTCTTAGTTTACTTGTTAGCTGTAAAATACCAGAAAGATTAACTACACAATATTTAACAATTTAAAATGAACATAATTACAAACTAAAATCAGTACCTGTCTCCTGTAGATTTTCCCTTGATGGAGCAGCAACAGATGCAAGAAATTCATCCACCTGCTTCAGAGACAAGGAGTTGTGTAGAGTTTCCAAAGGGCAAATAGAAGGCACCATGGAATATAGTTCAAAACCTGAAAGAAAAATAATAAAAAAAAAGAGATTTCCAAACATAAGACAGGATTTAAGCTATTGCACGGGCAAGTATTAAACCATGATAAGACGTACTTATTTTAAATCAGCACATGCAGACATACTACTCTTGAAATCGTGGATGCTAAATATTAAAGAATTTGGAACAAGATGTGCAGATTTCCAGGATGTGCTAAACTAAAGGTACCATTTAACATACCATGGGTTACAAATCCCATGTACACATAAAGTGGTCTTCAAACATTACAACTGTGCTGTACTCCCAAATCAGTTCGTGAAAGATGACTTTCCTCTAAGAAAAACTTAGTAAATCACAAAAAAAAAAAAGTCAGGATATGGTAGTATTTCTCCTATTCATTCTCATACCTGGCACTGGCACAATACTAAATTGATAACTCGCTCATGAAGTAAAATAGGATAGCTATGTTGTCAACTGTTAGCAGACAAGACCTAAAAATGCTACAACTTCCAAGAAACAGATTTGCAGAATTCACGTTCTACCATCTTCAGTATTCTGTGAAAACAAACTGTTGCCTTAAATATCAAAGGAAAACCACTGTTAGCAGTTTTGTACCTTGAGGTTACATGTTTTAACTTTATAAGACAGATTTACACCTACCTTTATGCATTTAAAAACAGTACTTAAAAGACTAGAAGTTTCATATATTAGAACAGGTAAGTATAGCAACCCAAAATCTAAAAATTTATTGGACTTTGCTTTTCTACATTAGTATTGATCATACACCAACCATGTATATCCATATTACTAACATACTAAAAATCATTTAAACGTCTTGGCAAAAAAAAAATTGCAGTTCTCTGAAGTGATGCAAGTTTGATAACTCAATGAACAGCTCTTCATCCAATTGCATTTCAGAAGAGGAAAATATGTCCATTAGTGTTTTTAACATACAGCTATAACATTACAACTTTGCAATTCAATATTGTAAATTTACAGTTGCTACATTTCTTTTAAGATATTTAAATGAAGAAACAATAGTGAATGAAATAATGTTTAGAATTTCAGTTCAAGGTACATTTATTAAGAGATAGGATTATGACTGTGAGCTGTTCCTTCCCCTAAAATAATAAGCATCAGTATTCCTGTGATATCCTGTGTTCCCCATTCACTCCCCCCTTAGTGCTTTGCATAGAGAAGTAACTCAACAAAATTTCAACCCCCAAATGTCTATTTACATTTGGATCCGCCTTGGCCATACTCAAATTTGAGGAACAGTCGCTTCAAATATACAATCAACTGAAGTGTACTTATGTCAGCTTCACTTATATTACAAATAAAATGTTGCATTTCATGGAAGCTTGGTTTTCATGTACAAAAGAAATACCACCACATACTTAATTTCTCTTTTTCTATAAAAGCAGTAGCTAAGCTTCAGTGTAAGCACTTACATATTTGGCATACATATTAATATCCTAAATAAGTATGCATGCATGCAAAGCGCAAACCCTTTCTTTGCATTACAGTAAAATAGAATATTTATCTCTTCACCCTGACAAAAAAAGTCACTATTACTTGAATAAGAATTTATTTTTTTAATTTTGCAAAAAGCATAGTGGGACAATGTCAGGTTAACGTTTTAATAACTCTTACTGTTATAGTGCAGTGTTACAGAAAACCAGAAAGAAATTTCAAAATACATCCATGCCGTTTAAAAAATGAAAATAAAAAAAGTCATCATCTTTCAGGAATTTCCCTTCCACAGATTTTTGTTCAGTTTTGACAATTCTGCTATCAGACAGCCATATCCCAGCATGTTGTTGCAGTATCTTTGCATCTAAGGGATATGACTTAAAAGATACCCTGGAAATCTATCTGCAGTGTTTTATTTGAATATTTTATGATAAATATTTTATGATGTTATGAGAAATAAATTTAAATTTTAATGATGAAGCAGCCTGACAGTATCCCTTTAAAAAAGTAATTTCCTGCAAAACTAACAGCCTTTGAGTTTTGGCCATATTTATTCTTAAAGCACTGTCCCCATCAAAAGGCAAGACAATGAAAGGGTTAACGCAGCATCTCAAAAAGCCACTCTGCTTACATTTAAAAGCTATAGAGACATACCACTGGAGCCTAGAAATTCCACAGAGGAAATGGACCAGCACCTAAAGAGGTGTGGGTGTTCTGCACAGAGGCCCAGAAAATAAGGTAAAGCACTGTGAGAAGATACTTTTTTCACCATGTTCCTTGAACTAAAAATGGGGGGGTAGTCTGAAATGAGTTAAGAGGGTGTGATAACAACATAAAAATAAGAAAAAAACAGAGTGAAAGGGACAAGGAGAATCAAAATGATAGTCCAGAGGACAGACAAAACAACATCAATATGTTCTTATGTTAGTAGAAAACCCTTGGAAACCTGCAATATACTTAAGTTTCATAGGAGCTCATAGATCATGCATTAATCTTGCAAAAGATGTGTGGTAAAACTGCTGTATTAAATGAATCAGAACAATCAATGCATTCATTAAAAGCAATTTCGATCCTTTTTTAAAGAATGCAGTCACAAAAAGATAGTGCTAAATGGAATAGAAAGTAATCATATTATTAGACACTGATGCTCAAATGCAGTTTTTACTTTCTGACCTTGTATGTTTTGGAAATACTTGGTTTGAGTCTAAAGACAAAAAATGGACTTCTAACTTTCCTATTTGAAATAGGACACTAGAATTGGCCTTTTAGATCAAACACAGTTTTAATGGTATTAATTCAGCCTTCCTATAGCAATTTCCCTTCAAGAAGCACTGCAGTGCAAAAAGTCACTACGGATTCCAAATGAATATAATAAAGGACTACTTTGCTTCTCAGCAAAGCCAAACAAAAACTCAGTCTTTTTTTTTTAACCTTGTTTCTAAGCAAAAACATTTTGAATCTAACATGAAAATGCTGATGTTTTCCACTGCAGTTTCAATAATATCACCATCACTGTACTCAGCCAGCAGTCATGCACATTTTAAAACTGCAATTAAGAAATCTGGAAAAGCTACATTAAGATCTGGTGGATGCTGAAGACCGAGTCTGGTTTTCATGAACAGGATACATTTTGGGCCTGTTTAATCATGTAGAAAGGTAGGCACGAAATATTTTGCTGAGGAAGAGAAAGACATACCTCTGTCCTGTGTGTTAAACCAGACTTTTTTGTAACTATGGTAGACTGAAGACAAGTTAACTCTCACTTTTGGAAGCTCAAGAGGTCAATGTAAGCAACAGGCAGCTCTCTTGCTGTGATTTTTAGTGCAATATTTAGGTAATTTGCACATCTGATGAACAAAGAAGTATAAGGTACAATAAATTTTTCTCCGATGACAAATACAGCATAGGAATGGAACCAAAGCTTTTTATTTTTTTAATTTAGCATCACTTCAAGAAGATAGTCATAAACTCCAGTTGTCAATTCAGTGATTTATTCTAGAATCAGGAGGCTCAGGGAAACATCTCAGCAGGAGAAAGACAAAGAAGAAGCAGCAGCTATCAAGAAGTGTATCAATAAAGATCAGATTTAATTCTGTTTTTATCTTGTACCATACAGTCTGATCACACAAGAAATTGGGAAGAATAATTTATTACAGAGATCATGATTAACAGTAGCACTTCAATTTTTTCAAGGATTTTTCTAAGGAATGAATTTTGATGTTGTATTTATACTAATGAATGGTAAAGAAGGGGTTTAGGATATCTAATGATTACAAATATATTTGGAGTTGTGCTTGAAGTTAGGAACGACAGACGGCTGGATGATATTGTACACCCCATATTTGAAATAAAAATAAAAGGGATGAAGCAAGGAACCTTTTGTTTTCGTTTTTGTTTTTAAAATAAAAGCAAAACGTACCATTGGTTGGGTGTCGAGCAAATGAGATAGAAAACCTTTTAACAGCAGAACCGCGTGTGGTGTCTGAGAAAGAGAAAAACAGGTACCTGAAATTTGTAACAGCTACCAAAAGAGGGACATTTTAAAAAAGGAAAAGAAGAAGAAAGAAAAAAAGAAAAGATGAGAAGGTATTAGAACTGAGTGGCATGCAGAAGGGACCAAGGAAAAGGGCTAAAATCTAAATAGAGGTTAAAAAGAAGAAAATTTGGATTGTTGGTAACTACAAGATGTACAATGAAGTGTATGAAAACAAGCAGAATGAGCTGGTGATTCTGGCATACAAGGTTATATCAGGTTAGAGTCGAACACTGAGTAGTGAATTGGGGGGAAAACAGCATGAATACTGTTTCACCTCAGAGTTATAAAGGTGTGCTTTGGCATTTTTACATTCTGAAATCTAGTGAGAGAGTTTCTTCTCTACCCCAGATTATCCAAAACTAAAAATCTCCTGCTCCTTTGTAATCCAAACCCCACGAAAAAAAAGGTCAGGAATCCTAAAATTTTCACCGTCAGTATTTATTAGTTTATTATTTCTTTCATTTCTTGTATATGCTCGAAGTAATTTATTTCATTTCAAGATCAATAAGTAATGATAAAACCCAAGGTTTAAAATCAGAAAAGAATTTCAAAACCAAAATTTTAGTTTACTTTAAAAATGCACTTGCTGAAATCTCCTGGCACATATTACAAGTCTGTGAGCTAGTGTTCAATTCAAGACAGAAACAAGAATTAACTGTGCTATTAAGTTAACGTAAGCAAGCTACGGGCAATAAAGAAGCAATAGAAACTCACACAATTAATACTAAGGCAAAGGATTCTAGGATTCCATTGAAATCAGTAACCTAGAACTTATCTTTAGAAGTTTAATGTGGCACATGGGTTTGTGCGTGCATGTGCGAGAGTGTGCACATACCATCTATGAAGCCAGAAGAAGTCAGCTTTTTACGATGAGTACGAGCATAATCCTGTAGGTTAGGTGCACTTGAAGAACCCCCGAGCACTGAGGTGCTAAACAGGCCCGCACAGTGAGACCCTGATGGGAGTTAGAGAAAATACATACAACAACCAGGTGTTCGTCCATTCACATTGGGGATGCATGCAGCATGCAAGCACATGGCTCTTACCACACAAAAGGCAGCTTTTGGCAGTGCCTTGGACAGGTTCACAATATGCTTGTAATGTCAGAGTGGTACTTGTAGGCTGAAACTATCATAATTTATTGTGCTTCTACTCATGACACAGCACCCTCTGCTATACGTGCAAAGAGAGGATTGGCTTTAACAAAGTGAGTTCTTGTCCTGTTTTCACTTTTGGTAAAGAAAAGTTACCAGTTAGCATCAATGTAAACATAACCAAAACAACAAAACAAAACCAAGATGATGATGATGTGAAAGTTGTGTGTTTTAAAACCTGCAGTTCTGAAACAAATATAAAGTAGAAAAATACTGCTCATTGCTTTCATCCAAATCAACCTTTGAGATGACAGGCTGCAATGAAGTACTTGCGCATTTCCACAGACTTAATATGGAAATATTTCCTTTCTAACCCCAACAAAATGTTAACCAAAGTGGAAATACTCTATTTGTATTTCAGCTACTGTCACTGACAATGTTACAAATTGAAAATACCTAAAAGTTCCACCAAGTTTAGCTTGACTTTCTTTCCTGAGAAGACTTTTGTACATCTCCATGCAAGTGAGAGTACTTTTGTTATAACTCATACATTCCTGCCACTAGGATGGGAGTTTTAACAAATCACTGAAAGCCACAGACAGAAATATAAAAATAACTTTTATAATCATCAACCATAAAAATTGAAATTTACATACAACAATGAACAAAATGTAAAAAAAAAAAGTTGCAATTTTTTTCCGTTAGTTTTTACTACGAGTTGAAAGGAGAAGTGGTTCTTCACTAAGAACTTATCTTTTACATTTTAGATAAGTAGCAGCAGATTTTTTTTGAAAACCAACTATCTATCCAGTTATACTTCCTTTCATTACTTTTAATGACCCAGTGAGGGGAAACATTACTAGCACATGTGACCAATATAAACTGGTGCCTGGTCTGTGGCAAAAGCCTTTCACACCAAATCTAATACCTTAATCTATGCACAGAAATACATCAACTTCCACAAGCCATATTGTGTCACACATTGGCAAAAGGAAAGTTGTTTAACTAGCAAGCACACAATAAAAAACATGACTTTGATAAACAAGAGCACCTGATGTATGCATTTTACTAAGGGAAAAATATAATAGGGAGAAAAGTATCACAGAAATATTAGACACACAAAAAATACCGATCTTTACAAAGAAAGGAAAAGCTACTTTTAAGTTTATGCATATAGCTTATGCATTTTCTACACTTAATTTTTCCCATGAAAAGACACACAGAAAAAAATGCAATATTGATTTACAGGAGTGCAAGATTTTGTATTTTTGCATATCAGTCATATGTATGCCTGTTTCAAAGAAGCAACAGAAAAGCACCACTTGAATTAAAAGAATTTGAAACATCTCATTGAATTATAGCATGATTCATTCTAATGCTGAAAGGAAGAAATTGATTTTAGGAGAGGGAATGTATGCAAAACCCCTGATATTACCAAGAAACTTAAGGTTTGTTCTCCATTCCCTTCCCCTTGGAAAAACACCTTCAATTCCATCAATTGCCCACCTTAGGAAACGTTAATTTTCAAGAAAAGTGTTTTAACAGTTTCCAGTGCAGGCCATTTCAATCCAAAAGATTCTTGCAAAAACTCAGTCATGATCTACATTATCTTAAAAATCTACTTTATGTTAAAAATAATCCTGTGTACCTGTTGCGAGCAGTACAGAGTCAGTAGTGTGAACAGTCTCAAACAATTTGCTCTTTTCAGTTATGATTTATTTAAAAAGTTTTGCTGCAGAAAGATCGTCCGGTTCATAAGCAGACAATATATTATTGATAATAAGTACTACTGGGTCCTGTTAACATAAAAGCTATTCAAAGAATGTACAACTGTACAGAACAATGGGCAGATGAAAAGCTGCTAACATCAAACAAAATTTCAATTGTAGGCACATACCTAGACCACTCTGCTTTTGTTCCAGAATAGTTCTCGGTGTTCGTAAGTTACTATTGCTTTCTGACAGGACCTGGATATAAAAAACAGAAAAATAAGGGAAAGTAGAACAGCAGCATGAAACGTCCATTTAACTTGATACAGCAGCCTGTTTCAGACAGACAAGTGTTAATAAGCTGTATGATAAGTGTTAGTAAAAATATGTAAAGGAAACATGAAAGATCATGCAATATCCCCTTCTGAAGGGAGTCCATTTCACATATGAGTTCCTTGCAATGAAGTGGTGCAAAGCAAGCATTCAGAATGAGACAGGACACAGACCAAGACAGATATGAGAACAGACATTTGAGACATTTTATTTCATTTTACCAAATGCACTCTCCTAAACTGCGCCTGTATTGAAAAAAGGAGGGGAGGGAAGGAAAGACAGACAAGCTATTGAGGACACCATACAATCACTGATCCATGCACGGGCTCAATCAGTGTAATCTTCAGATGCTCACAGCCTTTACTGATATAAACTTTTCCTATGTAAATAGTTTTAGAATTTTCCACAATAAAAAGAAATTATGAAAATTTTCAAAGAATAAGGATATGGTTAACAGAACACCATCCATTGTCATACATGTGAACAATATCTCGACATACTAAACAAACTTTAGATCTTCATTGGTACTTCAAAAAAATGTACTTTTCCTTTTTTCCTGCCTTTCCCCCCCCAATATTTAGAAAAATCTTCAAAATATTGTACAAGTCAATGGATGATGTACTGTGTTGGGAGTTTCAGATACCTCCGGATACAGAAGGCGAGAATTATTAGTGCTAGAGTTTGTTCCCTGCAATAGTTAATACCAGGCCACTGAAAATATGATATATGCAAAACAAGTTTTGAATAGCAATATGAAGTACCAAATAAATTATTTTAAATGGTATTGGTTGCAATTATTTTTAAAAAGTTTTTCAATTTACCTACCACCAAATTAAGCAATGCTGTTTTTAAAGTCTTAAAGGACAACTAAACCAAAGCAGAAATCTGTTTCATTAGGCAGTAGACTAAGTCTTTTTTACAGTGGTAACATTTGCAATTCCTATAAAGAAACCAAATTTTTTAGGAAAACATGTAACACATTCAGTGGAAAAACATGCACTTGCTCTTTTTCCCCCAAACATTCTCGGGAAGTAATTTTAAGAAGTGGAAGAATTTGCTTCAAACATAATCCATAACAAGGGATTAGATGTCCTTAAAGACAGTTGGTTGTTGCTTGGAATGCATAATAATGTTTAATGAAGTAAAGTTTAAAAACCTGTTGCCATGAGCCAAAAATACTGGATGTGAAAGCCAATGATTTAGGGGAGACAGGGGAAGAAGTGATTTGTTCCCCTGATCTGCGTCTTCGACGCCCAGTACCCACACCACTGGTGTAATGCAGCCAGGTACCAATACACTCTGGGCTAGACACACTCAGGGGGCTCTCTTCCTGGAAGTGAGAAAGGGGGCAAAAAACAGCAAAGCATGCAAAGTTAGATTCAACAGAGCCAAATGAACAGAAAAGAAAAAAACCCAATCTGCTTGCACCCTTTTATTTACTGCTTTTAAAACTATTAAACAGTGAATAGGGAAGAGTAATATTACAATATTAGGAAGTTATCAGTTGCACTTACATCTTTTAATCCAATTATATGTTTTAATACAACACTTCGATCAAATTTCTGGTAGACTAATTAGTAGATATGAGAGAAAAGTAATTGTTATCAATAATTGATTCATAATTTTAAGAATTTCCCACCTGTTGGAAACAGAACATCTGTTATCCGTGACATACTGTTTAATAGTTTTCCCCCTTTAAGTACATTAAACTTTCCTATTTATTACTTAATAGTTTTCATTTCTAGGCTATAACCTTATCTAAAAAATTCTCATTTTTAGAATCGCCTTTGAGACTTTACAGCTGACTCACTGGTAGTAGCATCAACCTAAATTTTCCAAACTTAAAAAAGCCGTAAAAATGATCTGATGCTGGACACCTATTAAGACTTCAAGGGAGGACAGTGTCAGGCTAAGAATCCTCCATGCTCTACATCATTATGTATGATTAGCAATCAACATTTTTAGCAATATGGAATTTGATTTCCAATGCTGATGAGCCTTACTTTCTTGTATTACTGTTAGAACTCTGCTTTTTTTTTTATTTCCATGACTCAATCGTTGTAATCCCTTCTGTAAATATTGCTGACTGTATCCCAGATTAAAACTTCCATATAATCTCACACCTGACAGTGTCCTTTCAAATTAATGGACATAGGTGAAGAGAGAATTGTCTTATAGGAAAAAAAAACCAAAAAAAGGTTCAAGGCAGTTGCAGTTTAAGTTGCAAAGACTTTTTGTAAACACTTGAAAATAACATTTGGTTTAAATATTCCAAATACTGGTTTTGCAGATTTCAGTAGGCCAGATGAAACTTCCAATTTTACTTTTTCAAAAAAAGTTTCATAGTGTACGTTTTCTTTAAATTGGCTATTTTCTTCCAGCAAATAAACAAGCACAGACACATTCCATCTGAACATACACTATCTGCACAGTCAAAATCAGCAATTTATGTTACTGATACCTTTTAAAAGTAACTTCTACATAATTTATGAAAATGAAAATGGTTAAAAGTTTGAAGTAATAGACTATTAAGTTGTGCGTATGTGAACTCATAACTAGGAGGGGAGTTTGCATGATCATAGTGAAAACAGCTTTTAAAAATCCAAAATATGATGTTGTGAGCATTTGTTTATGATAAAACTTGGAAATAGAAAATGTAGGACATTCACATTTATTATCTCTGTTAATTTATGGAAGTCATGTGAAGTTATACAGATATCCTCATAGAAGGGAACCATGCATCTTTTTCTCTCCATACTACCAATAACCAAGTTACTTGCAAATCTGTAATACTTTCATTGCATACAAACAGCCCATTCCCAACACAAACATGAAAGGAAAAGCTTTTGGTGTGAATCTTCATTTCTGATGGTTTTAAGCAACTGAAAATGAGGCAATAAGAAGCTGTTAGTCTGCTTCTAGCATTAATATCACAGAAGTGCCACTATGCACCATCTGCAGCTTTGCCACTCAACCATACAAATGGTATCAGTGGTACTGCCGTGCATCCCCCCACCTCTGTGACATTAAAGCCATTATCTGTGAAGCACACCTAGATGTCATAGCCTTCAAGACAGGAGACTAGACTGTTCAAGATGTTATCTAAAGAATTCATGAAACACAAACCCCACCCACTTAAAAAAAAAAAGCTTCCAGTTTATTCTCTTACCTTAAAATGCTTGACAAGTGGAGTCACTTTCACCCCACATGAAAGCAAATACAGCAGAAGACTGTCTCTCCTGTACCTCCCCTACCGCCCCCAATCCCTCCATTCCCTCTCAGCATGTCACCCTGAAGGTTTGTTTAATTCCCAATAGCAGCTGTCTTGTAAGGATGAATACAAAAGCAATGTATATTAGTTTGAAGATGTAAATTTAGACTGAAAAAGTCTTCATTTTCAAATATTGGCTTTTCTAAAATGGCTTAAAAAGAAAAAAGGAATTAAGTCTCATCGCAAAATAATAATTCATTTAAAAAAAAATTCCTTCAGACAAATTACTGCCAGGGAGGATTTCCCATAGAATAAGAGCAACCGTTTTGTGAGACATAACATCATACTGGTTCTGTGTAATCAAAAGCAGAATTACATTTGGTTTTGTTTTGTTAAAAGTAAGCAAAAGTTAATTTCTGTGAAAGACATTATCTGGAACATAAACACTTACTTCAACAGAACCAATCTTCCTGGATCTTGGAAGGGGTGACTTTCTGTGTATGTGAATTGGGTCTGATACCATTGGCTTGAACATCACTACTGACCGATCTGTTTCATCTCTTTTAGAAGCATGTGCCTCCTCATCACTATCATTTCTGTGAGAGGTTTTCTTCGAGCCTTCATTCTACAAACAATACATAATTCATCTTCAATTTAGCTGCACACCTTGCAACATGTAGACAGAAGTGGCTGTTAAATCAATTTTCTGCGTGAACATAAAGCAAGTGGATTTTAAAACTACAAGATGTAAATCACATATTATTGAACAAATTGCTCTAGACTTTAATAATCTATGCATAGTTGCTCCTAACGAGCCACTGCATATAAGTGTGATCCTAATTAACCACACTGTTCAGCCAACATATCTTACTCCAATTTTCTGTTGACATAGTAATAAAATCCTGGCCCCACAAATCAACAGAAGGATTCCAGCCAAGCTTTGCTTTCATTCATTTCTCAAAAAGAAGGTGGTAACTCCACAGACCTGCCCGTACATCTTTGAAAATATCAATCCTTTTTCAACAATCTGTATTCGCAAACACGCCAAACTACCTTACTTTCTTAAATATTTCTTTCAGTTGCCAGAATATCATTGATGTGACACTGATGCTGATAGCACTTTTCTTATAGTGAGTATTTCGTATATCTAGCAAAAATTCTGGCAAAGCCATAGAAGGTCCAAATTATCTGTGTCCATTATCTCAGTGTCCATTCAAAATGGAATAATACATTGGGACTGCCTATATTTTACTAGAAATTTTTCTACCAAAATTAAAATCACATTTGTATTTTTTACCTAACAATTTCCCAGTGTTTATTTTAGGTATGTCTGAATCCAGAAAACCTAACTTTTACTTTAAAGAAAGGCATAATTATTACCTCTCTGGAGGCAGGTCTGTATCCATATCCAGCTGGTAAATTTTTATCTTCCTCACAGCCTTTGGCTCCTGGACTAAAGTGCAGCTCTACATGAAAACGTTCTTCCGAAGAAAGTTCCTGAAGAAAAATGATTAAATAGGTTTACGCTTTAATACATAGCTTAGCACTACTTGTTTCTGAAGATATTTATCCTTTTTAAATACCTTGTTTGGATCCTCATAAAGCATGATAACAATCTGTGTCATGTAATTGAGTTCATTGACAACATTTAAATAATCCATAGCTCGTTTCCATTGTTCATCTTTTGATTCCTTATGAAGGGGGGGAAAAAAAAAAAATCAACAAATAAAAAACAGCTATTTTTTTTTTTTAAAGACTGATGATTTCCCTTTTTCCCCATTTACATGGATTTTACATTCACAGCAGAAGTATGAAGCTTTTCACAGCTAAGGAAAAAACAGATACAACCAGAAAAAAAAAGTAACTTAAAATTACTCATCAAATGAATGAGAAGTGGAGATCAGAACTTTCATATTTTATTTCAGTTTATCTTTCATGTTCTTTCGCTAATGATGATATATGTCTTGTAGACAGAGGCACCATTTTAAACTCTCCTGATGGGAACTGTTAATTTTGCAATAAACTCATTTCAACTAGTATATTGTGGAAAATGTTTCTAGATATCGCTCTACCAGTCAAACAGAGTAAATGAAGGCTTCTAGTACAGAGATGAAAAATAACCATCACATCCCAAACTATTTAAAACTAATATTCACCTTTTTTCGTGCTCTAGAAAAAATACATTTAGTAACCCACCTTAAAGGAAACTTAAAAGTTTATCAGCCTAAAACTAGGAGTGTAGCATATGTCACAGAGGTCTAGGGTTAAAAATGTTTTTGCCATCAGTGAGTTTAGTCATCCATTACCAGAAGCAAGTATGTCAATACAACCATTTCAAAAGTTAGTATATCAATCAAGCTCTATCTTAGAAGAGGCCGTGTAGGCTTTGTAGCGCTGCATTTATCCTCTCCAAGAGCTCAGTTAGGTCATCTCTGAATCTGGAGACCTTGTCTTTTTTAGTCCTTCGTTTCAAAGCCAATCAGATGGAGAATAATACACCACTTTCAAGGTATTCTACGACAGTACAGGAAATCCACTGAACAGGAGAAACTTTGCACTACATGAGCATTCTTGAAGTCAGGTAGGGAGGTCTTGACAATACGCCAATGGTCAAAAATAAGCCAGTCCAAAAGTGAAGTCCAAAAGAGAACCCTGAATGATAACTTGAAGGTAAAAGAGTTGGAAGACTTATAGGTGACAATGTAAGACAAAAAAATGGATTATCTGCCCTTTTCAAATCTCTTTGAGACCGTAACATGTACAGCTGAACACACCAATGGAACTCAGCATTACTTTAAAGGGCATTTCCACCAATGTGCACACCAGCAATTTGAAATATGTCTCTGCGTATATAATAGGAAATCAAATGTTTGAAAAAGTGTGATAAATTTCAAAGCCACTTAGGAGAATTAAGCTTTCACTTGATACAGTTTCAGTAAGATTGAGTCCTTTTGGTTCCTCTCAAAATACCAGAGCTTTCACAGAAAAAGTGTTCAACTTACGTCACATAAGGCACCATAACGAAGGGTGGATAACAGGGAGTGGACATGACTCTCGCTGGTGAAATACAGCCGTGTACGAACATGGCGTTCAGGAGACATAACACCCCTGGAGTAACTTGAAAGAAAAAAAATCTTATTAGTATGGTCTAAGATGTATCCCTACTTCAGAAATAGCTATCCACAAATAAATCAATCATACATTTTAAATTACTATGAGCTAGTAAGACATTTCAAATATGAAAGCTATGGAATATCTCCATTAAGTCTTACAGAAATTAATGTAACTATGTAAAAAAGTGAAAGACTTACAGAGGGTGAAGCTTATTTACAGTATCATCATCTTGAGTTCTCTGAAGGTCAGAACGGATTTTTCTAACTAGAGGAGTGCAGTAACCTTTGGCAATCTCTAGTTTCTCAGCCTTAGAAATACCATATTCCTGTGGAAGAAGAAACTGACTTTTAAAATTCAGTTAAAGATTAAAATGCCTTCTAATTCAAAGCTTGTATATTAAAGCCAATTAGTCATCTACTAGGTTGCTCTGGCTGCAAACTGTTTTGTTAGACATTTTTGTTACATTTGATTACTGATGTCCCTTCAAGTAACAAGGGGTCTGCCTTTTTGCTGTTTGATTTGACACAGAGAAACAGTTTTTTATTGACTAGTTAAAACACAAAAGTGGATTCACCTTCTGGTATGATGAAGCTCTTTTTCTTAAGCAAAACATCTAGGGAATTATTCCTCCTCCCCACCCCACTCCGCCCCCACACCCAAATTTAGACATCTATGATGCATTTCATCTCACCTGATTTCAAGTAACTTTTTGGTTTTTTTAAACAATCTATAAAGAGACATAGGCACATTACCCGCTTAATATGTCTACCTTCATTTGGGGTAAACCACCCCACAGAAGATCTCCTATTCACCTCAAATAATACTGAAAATGGTAGTTAAATACAACTGGAAAGATTATATCTGTTACAGTATCTGCAATATTTAAAAATCTCCTCTTCCAGAAGCTTCATGCTCTGTGCTGTACATGATATGAAAGCGCTCTCATCATTATGATGGATCTTCTGGTTACCCTAGAAAGCAACATAACCACTTTTTCTTTGCATTATGTAGGCTTATCAAGTTTTCTTTGTTTTAATTCCTTTGTGTTTAATTTTTACCTACTCTTCTCTAACGCTGTTCAAAATTTAATCTTAACAGGCCTACATAACACAACACATACTTAGTATCATTGCTCTTTTTGTCCTCCTTGCTGCCAGGGAGTTTGAGAAATGGGGAGAGGAAGAAGTTCCTTCACTTGCTGCATATAATACGGATAATACCTCTCTTAAAACAGTGCTCTGTAACTGCATGGACACTTGGGGAAAGCTTTAGTCTGTTCTGTCCTGTTATCAGGAAATAATTTCATGTCCTGCAGCCTACAACATTTTAGAGCTAACCTGAGTTTAACAGCCTGTAGTATATGGAAGTTTAACTTGTCTGCTTCTGGATGAAATTCTATGAAACTTAATGTGTACATTTTTATCAGGGAGAGTTAGCATTTTGAAGCAGCAGAAAGGTCTTTTTAAATTTAAATTGCTTAAGACAAGTGAAATGAGGTAGATTAAGACTAACAGTGTCATTTGCAAAGAGCCTGAAAATGAAATTTCTAAAAGCAGGAAGAATAAAATTAAATGCACTTTCAGAATACACAGTTGTTCACAGGGGCGCCACTTAAATCCATGAAGAACGGCTGAGATGAGCCACTTTTATTTTAACACACTGCAGGAAAAGAAGCAGAATGTCCACAGCTTTAATTGCCAGAAAAATTCACTTTGAACACAGCTTAATGAATTGTGAATCAAATTTTTCTTACAAAAAATAATCAGCTTGCTATTGGAAAATAAGAGGTAACGTTAAAGGCTTCTATTACTCAAAATACAGGAACCTTCACTAGAAAAGACAGAGTAGACGTTTTCACAAAATTTGAAAAAGCATTTACTCTACAATTTATTCTATTTAATAACTGAAAATTCTTACCTGAGGGATCACAATGTCAGCTAAAGCCTTTGAAAGCCTGTATAATTCCATTGTGTTTTCTAATTTTAAGGAGCCATTGTGCTGCACATCATATTTTATACAGTCATAAATATCAGGAATTTTGCTAATATCATATCTTCCATTTTTTGTTTTGAAGTCTTTTTCCAGCTTGGCCCACCTGCGCAGCATCAGTTCTAGTGTTTCACTGTGGTACAGCTGAATATCTGGGTAGACATGTATCTCTCATAAGTAATCAAGACCATCCAAGTAACAAAAGGGAAATTTTAATTACATGGTAGTAACAGTTGAATACAGAGGGATAAAAGGGATCAAATACATTAACAGCATTACTTCTAAGGAGAAGGAACAGATATGCAAATGGTTAATTTTACTGCTGAAAATATCACAGCTACAAAGCTACATCAAAACAGTAGAAAGCTTCACTGCAGAAATGCACCACTGGCTCTTTAAAAAAAGCTACAGCACCAAGAATAATGTGTCCTACAGCACAGATCATATATATATAAAAGCAGCAAAAAAAGCTGTAAGAAAATTCTAGAAGGGAGGAAGAGGAGCATGACACGATCTCTGTTTTAGAACAGACCACACATCCCATCTGTCTCTCTCTCTTGCATGTGTCAACAGCAAGAGCCAAGAGAATGGTAGAAAGGATGGATTATCTGCATCCCAGGACAGGAAATTAGACCAAATAGACAAAAACCACTGACACTATCTACAGGTTACACTTGTGCTGCTCAACCTCAGAACAGAAGCTGTTTGCATGCTATACACTGCAGAGAACATCGACAGCAAATATTCTAGTATTTGGCTAGTACCAAAAAAACCACTGTGGTCACTTCCAGCTCTAGTTTTCCTGTGTCATTGGTTCAGCACCATTAATATTGAGCATAATTCTATGATCAGCAAAGATACTTAAATATAAAAATGTACCTATGTAACTTAGCTTTAGTACCATCTGCTTTTCCTACTATTCTTGTTGACTGCTGAGTTTCAAATAATTAAGACAAGAATTTCTGCAAACATTTGACTAGCCTGAACTTCCGAACACCACGAAGAACCCTTACCTGCAATACGACCACGAGTTCCTCCTGTGTTTTACTCTAAAATTATGCATATAGAATCAGACTATGAAAATCCCTAACCCATTTTTGATTAAAGTTCTGCTAAAAGGGAGTTTAATGAAGAAAAGTTATGTTACAGTTCTCTCTCAGATGTAAACAAGAGAAACTAAATACATCTATAAAAATGTTTAAGTACCTGCAGACTTTGGATCTTCCATTCTTTGCCTGATCTGAGAAGTCAAGCTCTGGATCAAGGAATAGACCTTGTCACATGTCTTTACAGGATTTTTAATAACCTGCATTGATTTTATCAATGAGATGCTTCCAGATGGAGTAAGCTGCAATTTGAGATAAACACAAAATTATCTAAACAAACTGACTAGATTTGAAAGAACTGGGGAGGTAAAATGCAACATACAAAAGATTCCAAGTATTGGAGAAAAAGCATTCAAGCAGGTTGCTATTAATTTTTGAAACCATTTCTCAATTATCTACTCCCTTTGAGGCATTAAGAAAAGAAAATATATCAAAAGGTAGTAAGATTTACTAGAGATTCAAGAAATTGATAGGGCAACTAATTCTATACAGTAAATGTAAGCAGTTTCAGGAGTTCCTAAAACTCTTTTTTTGTTCCAATACAGGAAAACTGGAAAGACGTTTAAAACTTTGGACGTACTTAGCAACTTCCTTTCAAGTAACTACTGTATTCAAAAGCTTACACAAAATTCTGTAACTAATGCTATCTTCAGGCTACGTGCCTCACATAATACTTCCTGTTCTATAAAGTATCATCCTCAGCACAACTGAAATGAAGAACCAGATTTGCAATAGTAACTGATACCTGAAAAAAGGTTTGTCTCTTCCTGTTTTAGGTTTTTGTTTCTATAGGACTGCAGCACACAAACACAAACAAAAAGAAACCCTTTAAATGCACATATATCAAGAACATACAAGATGTCCTTCAGAGCTGACTTAATTATAGAAATTGTAGAAGCTACTAATTATCACCATCAAGTTGAGTGTCACTAAAACAATACAGTCAATATCCATGTAAGTGAGGCTTAGCCTCATTTTTTCAGAAAAGTCTGCATAATTTGAAGTAGGCAAACAATGACATTACATAGTATTTTATATACATAATACACATACATATTGCACTTTTCCCAGTTTCCTGAAATGCATAGATAATTTGAATATGGAAAACTTCTGCCCTCTACCTAATTGTAAGCAGTTTCTACCTCCCTATTATGACCAAGTAAATCAATAGGAAAGGTGCTCTGGCACAGAAAAAAACCCCATATTGTTTTCCCAAATCGCAAGTAAGTTAAAAAAAACAACCAAACAAAAAAAACCCAAAAAAGTTATCATTTTTTAATCCCAAAGGTTAGTTACTATCAGTGACTGTCTTAGAAGAGTGTGCTCTATTAGTTCCAGCCACCTTTCAAATCCCATTATATCTATATAGCAAAAAGAAGGAGGAATATAAGCAAACCCTTGAGAACTTGTACCCTCTCACTTTTTTTTAGTACTACTAAATCCACTGCTGGCAGTGGTTTGGATGATACTTTTAATCTATATGTTTAAGCAAATCTACATAGAGTATACATGCAGGGTAGTAAAATTATTTTTTAATAATTTGCTCTCAATACCTTTTAGAAAATAGCAATTTAAGCTTAAACCTCATTTGAGGACTTGTATTTAGTTGTTACACCAGACAGAGTAAGGGCAATTGAAAGAGAAAGAAGTTTCTTAACGGTTACAAACATTACTTACATTTAAACCCAGGAACAATCATGTGTGTTCTGTACTAAGTCAGCACAAACTATATTCATATGCACTAATTTTGCATGTTAATAAGACATTTCCTTTCACTGATTAGAAAGTATTCTACTGGTTTTCAGCATCTTAGTATTCTTAAGAGTTAAAATAAAAAAGTCTTGTAGCAGATTAAATATTGAAACAACTGCGGCAGGCAGGCAATACATTTTGTAATACCACACATTGTCAAATTAAAGATTACAGAAAGTGTAAACAGTATAGTTTCATTTCTTGAATATTTGAAATATTTTCAATGGAACAGTGAAAGAGATTTACGAATGAGGTCCCTATCTACTCCTATTTCAAAGTTTGTAGCTATTCCGATTACTCAAATTGCAGGACAGCTGAAAATATCTAATATCGCAACTGGTACAGCTTCCTTTGTAGTTCAAACTATTTGCAAGCACACAAATAATTTTTCAGAATAGATACATAAAATCACTGCTTATTACTTTTACACAAGAATTTGTGTGGCTATTTATTTAATTTTATAGGATACTAACTGTATGCTAACCTTATCATAGTCATCAGCAGTAAATTCTCTATCTCTCTGGAGAATTTCATGGAGTCTTGCTTTAACACGATGCTGACAGCTGCTTAAAGAATCACTGTCGCTGTCCAACAGACCATTCATATTAGCACTTTTTACCATCTGGACAAGAATAGGAGTCAGCTCACCCTCTAAGGCCAGTAGTCCCTGAAACAAATAATACGATTAATCAGGCAAACAGATAAATATGAGAACATAAGAGTATTTTAAAAAACCACCCAAACCACTATTTTAAATTCAAAATTTTATCACTTGCCTATGGGTTAGATAAACAGGGACTTGAAAGACAATGCAGATGTTTGCATAGAAGTGGCCCTCAAAACACTGCCTTGATGTGCAGGATTGCTACAGTTGGTGCAGCCGTGATGGTGGCATGCCATAAAGCATCCCCAGTACCAGCTGAAGTGACCCTCGTATCTCAGTGGTGCCAGCATTGCTCCTGGGAGGTCACAGCTGTTCAGGCCTTGGCTTGCAGGGAGTGCATGGTGCCTTCTCCCTGAGGCTGGGAGCAATAGCAGCCTGACTTGTGGGGGACATGCTCTGCTCAAGGCATTGATTCACCACATAGCAGCTACGGGAAGAGTTAGCAAACCAAATAGCACCTGGGAGGACAAATGGGAGATAGACAAGGTCTTTGCAGAGACCCTACAGAGGCAAAAGCCCAGATCCTGTGTGGCACAGAAGGACAATCAAAGGCTACAGTTGAACAACAGGGGAACGGAGACTTCCAAAATGGAGAAGGCTGGAAACTTTTGTTACTTTTCTGGCAACAGAAGGGCTCTGGGATAAGGAAGGAAATGGGGTGCTGTCTCCTCAATCCTGCTGACCAAGGAGAAAGCAGGACAGACAACTGAAATAGTTCTGCACCAACACATGCAGCATGGAAACAAACAAGAGAAATAAGAATTCTGAACGCTTGCAGAGCTTTAAGTTTATTCAGATAAGAGAGATGTGGTGGAATAGTTCACATGAATGGAGTTTTGCTATAGCTAGGTACAGGGCTTTTTGGAAGCTAGGAAGGCAAGGAGGCAGATTTGGGCTCTATATAAAGGAGTAGCTTGAACACCAGGACCTTTGCTTTCAAACCAGTGACAAATAAGTTGAGATCTTATTTGTAAAGATCAGAGGACAAATAAGCACAGGGAACATCATGGTGGGCCTCTGCTACAGACCACCCAATTTAAAAGGGAAAATAGATGAAGACTTCTTAACACAACTGGAGAAAGTCTCCTAATTGTGGGCCCTGTTTTCCATGGGGGCCCTTAGCCCTGGGTACATCGTGCATGGGCAATATTCCAGGGAACACGCAATCCATATTTCTGGAAAACACCCAGGACAATTCTTTGACACAGGTTACTGATGAACTACCAAGCAGAGGCATTCCTCTAGACCTGTTACTCAGAAGTGTCAGGAATGTGGAGGTCATTGGCAGCCTTGGTAATTGAAACCTGGTATTATGACAGATCCTTGGAGAAGTGAACAAGACAAATAATTGCATTAGAGCCCTGGACTTCAAACAAGCAGACTTTAGCTTGTTCACGGGATCCTATGGAGGAGTGTCCTGAAGGACAAAGGTGGATGATCTCCAAAGACAACCTCCTCAAAGCACAAAAGCAGTCCACTCTGACATATGGAAAGTCATGCAGAAGGTTAGCATGGACAAAAAAGGAACACACAGAAGGTGGAAGCAGGTATGGGCTACTTGGGAGAAACAGAAACATGACCTGAAAATGAGGGGTGGAATTGAAAACCCTGAGATGGAATCTCCATTCCTGGAGATACTCAGAACTTGACTGGATCTGATTCTGAGAAACCTCATCCAAACTGGCTCTGTGCTGTGTGGAATTGGGCTAGATGACCTATAGAGGCCCCCTGAAACCTAAACGTCTCTATCAGTCTGCATTATTACTGAAACTCATTCACTTAAGAGAAACACTTGCACTGTCTGTGTCCTCTCACACAATTAAAAGATCTGTATCACTGAAATGAGGAAATAAGTGAATAAATTACTACCAAGTGGAAGTATTATGCATTCGAAGGAATACTTGGGAGGAGCAGCAAAAGAGGAATTTGCCTAGCATGAAGAGGGGTAAAAGAATACTTCGGCAAGCATTACAGAAAGTTCTGAATTCTGTGTTTTATATTAATAGTTCCTACAAATACAAGTTTGTACTGAAAAAAAAGTTCATGCTTTTTAAACATCACTACAAAATTTTTATAATTTCACATCAAAAAATACATGTAAAAAAATATTTCTATAAAGTGCCAAGATGTAGTACTGCTACCATGTATTACTTATTAGGTATCCATTTTGACAGGCCCAAAGTAAAAAGTCTCCTGTAACAACTTCAGGAAACTACTTCTATTAATTCCAAAAAAAGTCTGAATGTATAGTCTGTACAATTTCCCATTAAATATATGCAAAGTAGTTTATTAATTTCACATTTCTAATGGCTTCAAACCCTCTAATTTCCTCTATAAAGTTACAAATCAATGAACGAAAGATGGTTTCAATGAAAAGTGTTGCCTTTTGAACTTCAAATCTTCTGGCCCAAATCACTGAAGTGACTGAAAATTTCAATTTTTGCCCATGTCAAATGAATACATTATCTCAAATCAGTTATAACGTCTGTGCTTTAACCAACACACACACACACAATCTGTCACAGAAATCTGACAAAATTTGAGGAAAGTAAGCCCTAAACAAATAAGCAGGTGCAAACTAAAAATGTTGCCAGTCGCATCCTGGGGTGCCTCAAAAGAAGTGTGACCAGCAGGTCAAGGGAGGTGATTCTCCCCCTCTACTCCACTCTCGTGAGACCCCACCTTAAGTATTGCATCCAGCAGTACTGCATCCTATGAGGACAGGATGAGACAGTTGGGGTTGTTTAGCCTGGAGAAGAGAAGGCTCCAGGGAGACCTTACAGCAGCCTTCTTGTACTTGAAGAGGATGTAGAGGAAAGATGGGGATGGACTCTTTATCAGAGAGTGTAGTGATAGGACAAGGGGTAATGGTTTTAAACTGAAATGGAGGTAGATTTAGATTGGACATTAGGAATAAACTTACTGTGAGGGTGGTGAGACACTGGAACAGGTTGCCCACAGAAGCTGTGGATGCCCCCTCCCTGGAAGTGTTTCAAGGCCAGGCTGGATGAGGCTTTGAGCAACCTGATGTAGTGGAAGGTATCCCTGGGGGTTGGATCTATGAGGTTGGATCTACACCTCTGCTATGAAGAAAGGCTGAGTTGGGGTTATTCAGCCTGGAGAAGAAAAGGCTTCGGGGAGACGTTATAACAGCTTTCCAGTACTTAAAAGGGCCTTGTAAGAAAGATGGCGGCAAACTTTTTAGCAGGGCCTGTTGCGACAGGACAAGGGGGAATGGTTTTAAACTTAAAGAGGGTAGATTTAGACTAGATATAAGGAAGAAATTTTTTACAATGAGGGTGGTGAAACACTGGAAGAGGTTGCCCAGAGAGGTGGTAGATGCCCCATCCCTGGAAACGTTCAAGGTCAGGTTGGACGGGGCTCTGAGCAACCTGATCAGTTGAAGATGTCCCTGCCCATTGCAGGTGGGTTGGACTACATGACCTTTAAAGATCCCTTCCAACCCAAACTATTCTACCATTCTATCTTTAAGGTCCCTTCCAACCAAAAATATTCTACGATTCTAAGATTTTGGAGGTTATTAATGGAAAGGACTAAGGTATATTGCTAGAGCTGTATAATTAAAACCCGTCTGCATCTGCTCAAAGAACTTCAAATGCTTGGCACATTAATTGGATACTTTTTCACATTGAACTAAATACTCTTTGAAAATACATTTCTTTTAAAACACAGCCTCATTATACACTGTGGACTCTAATAAACCATCAATCTCCCCCAGTCTTCAAAAGAAAAAACAAACTTGAGAACATCAGAATTTTTAAAATTGACAATACAATTTCAATTGTACCTTTGCAAAAGCTGCTGCAGTCATTTGAACTCGTCCCTCATCAGAAGCGTAGATTTTGAGATCATGTCGGTAAGTGCTATGTAATCTAAGTAAACCACATCCAGGAAATCCAGCATAATCTCCTACCAAACAAACATTGTGCTCAAACTCTCATTTTGCACTTGATTATCTTCAAAAGGGTTTTATGCCATTCAACCCATTTTTTTTTATTATTATATTTTTTTTTACCTTGTCCACCTGGATACATACACCTGAAAGCCCTTCCAAGCTCCTCTGCTTGAACCCTGCCCGCAGGGGTCAATTCTCCTCCCCATTTTAGAACGAGAAGTAGGGATGGCTCATTTCTTCTATTATCTAATTGCACACAGAGAAAGGTGTGTAGTAGTGAAGTAGATTATGAATCTTTTTTTTTTTTTTTGCATATGAACAAAAATATTTGGACTATGCAGGGCTTCAGTAACATTATGAATCTTTAATAGCATTCTAACATTAAGAAAATATTGAACTGGAGAATTAAATGGGCACTTAAACAGAGAAACCTGAAGTAGTTAAATTACAGAGAAATCACAAGTGAAAAATATTTAGCATGAAATCTGAAGCAAAAAGTAAATCAAGACAGAAAAATTAGAACAAATGGGATGCTAAATACCCTACAGTTATTTCAGTCAATAACCACGGGTCAAGGACCAGAAAAGCTTATAAAAGTTTTAAAGATAGCAGTAAATGTTGAGTGGGATTTTCCCATCCCAGCCCCGAAACACCGTTTTTACTGAATCACTGAAGCTTCTTTTCATCCTACTTTCCTGTTACAAAAAAGCAGTGTTAGAATACAAATTTACTACATAGTTTTAGGTGTATGATTCAGCAGATTAAGAGACTCTGAATACCTGCCAACAATACAAATATTCATTCAAAATAACATATTCCTTCTTCTTAACATCAAGACATGTTATACCACCAGTCCATGACTATTTAAACACACATGATATCAAGTGATTAGGTGCAAAAGTAATACAATACCTTCCTCTTCACTGGAAGTCTTTGGGCAACCATGAGGAAGATATGTTAACTGAACTTTGCGATTTATGCCTGAAAAATGCCCATACCTGAAGTAGGAATAGGGGAAAGTGAGAGGGGAAGAGGGAGAGAAACATTTAAAGTATTTTCCTCCAAACCGGCTATACTCCTGTAACAGGATATAATAAATATATGCTGGTCATTGATTTGTGCATTTGACCACCATTTATTGAAGCAGTGCTTTAAACAAACCTAACTCAACAAGCACAGAGGGACTACAGAAGTATCAACTATTATATAATGAACCATTTAAAAATACTATCTACTACTTTGTTTTGCAACAGTGAACATAGAACTGAAAGAAAAAAAAAAAGCATTTGCAGATTGCACAAGTAATTCATCTATTCAGATCCACAACTACAGTGGCTATCAGTATCCAGAATCTGATCTGGCAGTGTTCATGGCCACTGTTTTGTTAGCCAATTAAGTTCTCAAGCAGAACTCAGTATTTCAAACAATTGTAATAAATTTAAATAATAACTGCCTTTGCCCTGATTTTTTTAAAATTAAAGTTATCTACTACCATTTAGAGTTCTGAGACCCTAGATCTTTAACAAACTTAGATGCCTTCGGTTTCTCTTCTTTTTTTTTTTTTTTTTTTTTTAAAATTATTAAATATTTCAGGCGTAATATACAAAGCCTTATTTATTTGGAATCCTCCATTTGCTGTAAGTAGACAGTACACACAGTGAAAGTTCTTACTGGCTCCATCAGATTTCATTACGTCACACACTGCAAGAAGCAGACCCTGTACTCAAATACTTTAAGTTTAAAAACATGGAAGAAGATAAAATTTGAGATGAAAGTAAGTAACTTTTTCATGTAGAAAAAGTATACTGAGACACTAGATAAAGCAATAAGTTCAATTAAAAAGACAAGGAGAAAAAACAGAGCAATGGCCCAGTTCTCCTTCATAATGTCAAACATGACATCCTTTCTTTTGGTAACCCTTGTGCTTGAATTAATATATCATTACATATTTGATAACCATTGCAATCCAAGCAGTAACTGGTCAAACAGGTCAAAGTAGCAGATACAACTTTGTTGCTATGAAGCCTGAAAATTAGACACTTACATTTCTAACACAGTCTTTAGTTGTTCAAGTTTTGCTTTACTTTCTTCAATTTCAGAATCATTGTTTTGCCCAAGTTCTACAAGGAGTTGCCTTGCTATATCAAGCACTTCCTAAAGAAAAGAAACATAGGATTTACTTAAATAAATAGTTTTCTACTTACAAAATACCACAGCAAGAAAATAAAGACAAACTTGCCTGCAACTGTTTTGGTTTTTTCAGTTTTAGTTTTCCAGATTTATATCCATCACATTTTTCAAAGAGATCAAAAAACCTTTAAGAGAAAGAATATTGATTAAAAACCACAGTTAATAAATTAAAATATTATTTGAACAAGTGGCTCTTAAACTTAAAGCGGTCTGAAATTAGCACTTTTACAGTATTTGAAAAGCATGTTAAAACCTGCACTACAGAGGTCAAACCAACCTTCATTCAAATCCCATTTCACAAGAAAGTCTTCAACACATTAGAAAAATAAGAACACTAAAAATCTCTTACTGACTTGCTAAGCGTTAAAAAAAAAAGGGAATATATTCTATATATCAAATTACATAATACGCGAATATACAGCTGTATCAATTCTTAATCTTCAAGAATGATCCTGAACAGAAGTAGGGACCAAAAATACCAAATGAGCAGTCCTACACATTTACAGCATGTATCTCTGAATGCAAGAATCTAGTCCCAAAACAAATAATTACTTTTTACTGAAATTGCACCTAATTCCAGACCAATTATGTGAGGCACTTTATGAATGTTAACATAAAGATAGTATCTACCAGAATTCAGTCATCAAACTTTGACAAAAGTAAAAGACAAAAAGGTGGTGCAGTAAGATGACAGCTCACACAAGAACAGTTATGATAAAAAGAGAAAGGCAGAAGTCACAATCAAATGGTGAACCAGAAATATTCTCGGCTGCATTATTTTGAATAAAGACATCTATAGAGACAAATGCATTTTCATTAAGACCAATCAGGGCTGATCACAAGGCACAGCATGTGATGAAGAACGTCTGCACATGTAATTTGACAGTCCTTTTAGAAAGAGAGATGTATGCTTGTTAATTACCTGCAACATCAGTCAGATTTAAAAGAAAACAAAACAAAACAAAAAATAACTTGTATGATGCAATTCCTGCTCAATTAATTGCTTGCACATCCCCAAGAAGTGAGCTCTGCTCTAAAGCATCCGAACTAATGTTTACCAAGATTCTACCTACTTTTGATGTTTTACTTCCATCTTCATTTTTTGTTTTGGTGTTCTGTCCCCATGGCGTATTACAGCTATAACACATCTAAGCTCCATCCTGAAATGTCAAGAGAGTTATATTTCACAATTCTCTATATAAGGGTCTTTTACTTAATATTAAAACCACCATGAATCAAGACAATTGACAAAGTCATAGTTATCTGACATAACTACTGAAGTGATGGAAGGATATGCAAGAATATAAGGTTAACTGAAAATGATGTAAGATATAAAATATAAATATTGATTTTAAGACTTGGGTAACTAGAGAATATCTACTTTAAGCAGTTTTTAAAACAACGATTTTGAGGTTCATTAAATGAGAGAGCATGTTTATTAGAAGCGCATATTAAGTTGGTGCCGGAACAATGATTAGCAGTGAAGGAAGCTATGCATAAAAGATGCTACACTTGAAAATCTGCTGTTCTATACTCAGCTTGACTAAGGATCAGAAACTCTGATTGCTGGCATAGCAATTGTGATTCCTTCCTTGTTTTCATCACACAAAACAAGCGTTCATAGGCCAAAGTGGGCACACCTTGTAAGAGAAAAGAAAATTCACACAAAAGTTACATTAGGAGTTTGCATAATACAGGTGTAGCCACTATTTTCTTACATTGTTCCAGAGGTGGTTGGCACAATAGGGATGTCTTCAGCTTCCAAAGGAATAGACCATGGTATCTGAAACTGGGGAGCAAGTTCTCTCATTATGATATTTCTAAAAAGGGGGTTAAAAAGAAAAAAAACCACTAAGTTTAAAGCACAGCTTATACAACATATACAAACTCCAAACCAAATAGATAATATATACATGCATTTTTATCAATGTGGTTTTAGAGTACTAGTGGTCATGAGTTTCTAGATGCATATTTTTCTTTCAACTGTATAATAAAAACTTACTTAAACAACAATTTAAAGCTACTACAACTGCTACAGAGACAGTATTAGCCTAGTGGCCCCGGATTTGTAAGAAACCTCAGTTTTTGAACTCCAGTTCCTAAAAGAGTTCCTTGGATATGATTTAGTTTTGTTCATTTAAATATTCAGATACCTGACTCCATTGCCTAACTGAAAGTCCCTGATAATTAGCAAGCCATTCTCATCAAAGAGTAACTGGTACCTTTAGTGGTAATTTCTCAAAAGGTTCTGTGATAGAACTGGAAAAATGTACTCTGGTCGTAACTACAAAACGATAACACTGCCTCCACCTAGAGAAGGTTGTTAAATCTTGTTAATGTTCTGTTTCACAAGTATTTCATCAAAATATACTGAACTTCAGATTAATATCTACATAAGAAGCAGTAACACTGAGGAAAATAACTGTGCGTCTTGAAGTGGCATAAGCCAAAATTTAATTTCTAAAAAGCTCGAAAAAAATCTGCTGTTACTTAACACTGCAATGTATTACGTCAAGGAATTAAGCATGAAGAAAAAATGACGAAGTAACTTTCTTCAGAGAATTCAACAGCTACAACAATTTGAATAAAGAGAAGCCAAAATGGGTCTGAGAATTGTAACTCTAACTCACGAAGTGGCCTAAAATACTACAGTTGTTATCTAGGATTTCAGCTTAGCTCTTCCTCCATTTAGTAAGATCCTAGACCATTTGATAATGCAGAAAGTCATGCTGTATCTCATCAGTGCAATCTTACGGTAAAGCCAGTTTAACTGGCCAAAATGGGATCAGCCTACTTTGAGGCCAACATTTCGCTGGCATAGAGTTCACTACCCAATTCTCTATGATCCCTTGTTATATCTTTTTTTGCTCCCAGTAGCAGAGAGAAAATGGTATGACAGAAGACACCTTGATACTACATCAATTTGGATTTACTGATATGAAATCCACAAATATACAAGTATACACCAGCTTCAGATCAAGGACAATGTACATTAATTTGGGCACATATTAAACAGCAGCAAGCATAACCATTCAGTGGTGCTTCTCTACTTGAAAAAAATCTCAACTACGTTTAAGAACTTAATCCAGCTTGCAAAGTACTTATTCAGTTAGCTTTAAGCGTTCACAAAACACTCAGATGTTTTGGATGATTTCGGGAATAAGGAATTTATTTAGGATTTATTTATTGATTTCAGACTCTTTTTAATGTTTTATTTATTTTATTATTTAATTTAATAACTTATTTTATGTGATATTTCATTTTAAATACTTAATTTAGGAATAAGGAACAAGTAGTACATAAACTATAGTCACATACAACAGAGTGAATAGGCAAAACTCCTGAAATAAATCAGGGAACTCTTACCCCAGTATTTTAGCACAATCATCATAGTATTTCATGGAGTTTTTCACAAAACTGAAGCCATTCACATCACAGACATAGGACTGTCCATTAGCACGCAGCAAATCAAAGCCACAAACTGTTTGCTGTTTTTAAGAATAAAAGTTCAAGTCATTGATCACCTTCCTTAAGATTGCTTATGCTAAATAAACTTTATATTTTAATGTGGTATTCATCTGAAAACATGACAAAAATATGACCGATTTTATACTTAGTACCTTTTGCCAGTTCCATGTTAGGTTGCTCATGTCATGCAAACATCTACACATTTTTAAGTTTATATCCCCAACTTGATTTTACCCTTTCTATATATCCCTAGCAGTATCAGCAGAAGGTCAAAGTCACACGTGCACAAACTTAACTTTCAAGATTTACAGTGTAAGCAATGATGGGCCTACAAATTCCCTATTCTAACCCCCTACACACAGTTTTTAGGGGTGGCAGGCAAGAAAAGATAAAATAACGATGAAAACATTTTTGTCCAAATTTAAATTTGACAGGATAGTTTTGACATTGACATAATATTGACATTATCAGTACAAGAGACTAGATGCTATTTCAACAGATTACTTTTTTAGGTCTCAAAGCCCACTTTGCTGGTGATAGAGGTTCACACCCTACAGGCACCAGAATGCCATCATAGTTACACACAAGTAATGAGACAGACTGAAAGACAGCCTTGTAATAAGACAGGTGAAAGGAGGGTAAGAGGTTGAATGAAGTTTTGAACAAAGGAATCTTAAAACTATATAAAAATGGAAAATATCAAACACTTCAAATAAAGAAAATCTAGTCATGTCAGTACCAAATTAATATTTAATTGGGCCCAATGTAAACACTAGGTAACAAAAGTTACAAAAACTTGACTACTGAAATTGTGTTTCGCTAACTTAGAAACCATTAACAAAATGTGTGAACATATTATGCATAGAACATAGACACTGTAGACTAGCAAAGCACAATAGCAACACCATGAATTCAGGAAACTTATGCAACATAAGCAATCCATCCAGAACTTTTCAATGCATTAAAGGAAGAATTCTTCTAGATTAAAAAAAGATGTGGATGTGGAAGTTCAACTTTTCACCTTCCTAGGAGTTCTGCAGCAATTATCAGTGCTGGCTCTGTGCACTAAAACCCTGCGGAAGTTTCATGTAATAAACAATTAATTAACACTAAATGTTTGATCAGATAGGAAAGTAATCAGCTTACTTTAAAGGCAAGGCACACTTTCCAAGCAATTAACTTCTCTCTTGCATTCAGGATGACTGGATACCTCACTTCTTTTCCTTCACTATCTCGTTCTACCTTGCCATCCAGAGCTGGAGACTTCCGGGCTTCAGCATGAGCATAGTCTGGACCTACTGTGTACACCTTTATTGAAAAACAGGAACTCTTGATTCAGTGTAATTAAATTACATTACATATATACATACATCTTGCTAAATTTATCTCAGATGTGATAATGACTTCAAAAGATACTAGCTACTTTCATCATTGATAAGATCACTCTAAAGCACCTTCCTCAATGGCATTCTCTGCCTTCAGAGAACACCCATCATTTACTGACAACCTGTACAAAGCAAGAGGAGAAAACAGCTGGAGAACAGGTAAAGAAAAACAATAATTATAAAACTTGATGAATAAAAATTAATTTCTTAATTATGGTGGTACAGAGGTAAAGAGTAATGTTTTCCTCTCCAAAACATCAGCAGAACTTGGAGAGCAGATTAATTTGACAATTATTTCAGTTTACTTGATTATGAAAATCTGGCTGCAGGACTAAGTGATTCTCTTCATTAAAAAATATTTTCATATTTTAGGCAGGACTAAACAAGGCAAAGGTCTGTCCAGTTTTAGCATGACAAGGCAGGGGCTTGCAATGATTGTGATATCTACTCTGCCGCAGTTTCGATGCTCACCGAAAGGATTGGGGCATATGCTAGAAGAGACTTGTCAGCAGCTCTTGAAAATGAGCTGCTGTCACTTTAATTAAAAACAAGCTTTGATAAAAAAGTATTCAACTAAACCAGATGATTGCAAATACTGCCAATTCAGTCAATTCAGGCAAGAGGGTGAGTTGCGTGAAGCTGCCTAATACAAAGCTGACAGACTTGTTACTTGAAGAAAATCCATTATTTATTTGGGGTGTTAAAGTCCACAGTTGCTGCTTGATGACTTCAGTACAAGTAGTCAAAATAGTCCCTACCCCTGAAGTCATCTCTTCACGTTGCAAGAAACTGAAGAGTATAGCTCATAAAAACATACCAACTTAAAGAACGGGGAATTTGTCTGAGGACATAAAACAAGCATTGTCCTCATGTATCACCAAATGGAAGAAGTTGACTGCAATTGATAAAAGGGCTCTTTGGCCTAAGATTGGATTAGATCTCACACTCTCTAAACCTCAACCTTTTGTCTAAATACGGTGACCTCTCATGCACATTGCAAAACATTTGTTTCACATGTTTTGAGATGGGCTTAAAATAGCCAGAACTAACACAAAGGGAAAGAAAGCGATCTCTGTACATGGCTGGCTTAATACCTATTCTGTTATTCCTCTATTTCAATACCCTTTTATGATACCTAATCTTTACATCTGTTAAGAAAATAAATGAACAGAAGAGTGAAAATAATTACAGATGAGGTCAATGCATCATTTTCTGCAACTTCATATAATTTTAGTAAGTAACTTGTTTATTAATTAGAGTACTAAGGTAGTTGCTAAAATCTGTTTCAATTACAGATTTATTTGTAACCTTCAGACAAAATATCTAGGCAGCATCTAGCTCTTTACAAGGGAAAGTATATGCTGTTCTGGCACTAATAAAACAAAAAAGAAAGACAATATGTTGAGTAATCAGCCTCCAGCACTTGATTCCAACAACATAAGCAAAACTGCTTTACATTACAAGTACTGTGTTTAGCTGGAAAGGATTACATTCTTTACTTATGAACTGTACCAAAACTTCATTAAAATTAATCCTAGAGACAAAGATATACTTTCATCTTTAAAACTGTGCTCTTGGAGCACTTGATTCTTCTAAATATAAATACGAACACGCAGTAGTCATACCTTCACATCAGTGCCATCTGTAGGCATGAATTCCTCATAAATATAGGAGCCTGTTTTTCTCACGCTGCTTTCAGGGGAATAAACACTGCTTCTGCTGCCAATCTGAAATGAATATTTTTCTATTAATAAACTCATAGGCTACTGTCTGAGAAACTTCAGAACTCCTTAAAATAACACACTTGTACTGAGAAAACACTTCCTGTACCAAATGAAGCAAGTAGATTTTGATCATTCCCAAAAGATTTTCATAAAATTCTAAAAGTGCACTGATAGTGTATGCTTCTTTTACCTGTAAGAATCTGCAGTGGTTGACAATCTACTGCAAGGAACAAGGGTCTTCATTCAATCTACATGTTCTCCTGAAATTAATTTCTCTGATCTGACACTACTACACAAGCAGAACATGACAAAGCAGGTCCCAGCTAACACATGGATAGGATAGAATTACTCTGCAATTCTGTTCGACATCTACAACTTTCCAATAGCTTTAGTACAATACTCTCACCTTTCTAAAGAGCCTCTGGCTTCCACCCCCAGCAGATGTTGGATAATAAATGTAAACATTGTGGTCCTCAGCACTAACTGGCTTTTCTACAAAAGGCTTTTGGAAAATTTCTCCATTCACTTCCACGTGATCTTCTCCTTCAATCAAGTTGCATTCTGAAGAAACAGTGCGAACAACAGATGTAATAATATATTCATGGAATTAAATGATTAGAGATTTGGGGTGATTTTGTACTTCGTAATTTTGAAATAGAAAGAATATATTACATTTTTGGTTCATTGATTTGTTACTGACTGCACAAAGACTTGATGATCATTTGCTGAACATGTCTGCTGTACCACTTCTATATTATGTTACTTTAATACTATGTTCCAGGATTTCTGTTGATTCCCTCAGTGTCAGACAGAAAATCGTCTCCTACAGATGCATAAGCTTGCATGGGTGGTATTTTTTTTAGAAATGTTTTGAAGACAGCAGGCAGGACTGTTTCTCTCTTTCTTCAGTGCCTTTCTCTGAAGTATCAGGGGGATGGCAGATGGACAGTGAACTGTGGTGCCACATGCAATAGTACTTCTAATAGGCTGAGAACTGTCTCAAACTGTGTGATGGATGCACCTGGCACAGAGGATTAGGTCCTCTGGAATCAGGGATCAGGAATCTCTTTGCTACTGGTTGGCTGTATGCAGCAGCTTTTATTTGACTTTTGTAGCATAAATGAGTCCTTTTCCCCCTAGATTACACAGACATTTTCACCTATAAATTCCCTACCTCTTAAGAGCTACACCACAGTAATACTTCAATTTTCTTTATTTTTTCTTATCTCTTACTCTTGTGTCTTGACCTGCCATTGCTATTGCTGCTGTAAGTTTTCATTTTAGCAGAAAAAGCTGTTACATTTGTTTTCAGGTACAGAAAAAATTAATTCCAATTTATATTCAGAGTATATCATCTGCAGATCTGTCTGGATTAGAATTCCCTTACGTGGTTGCTTGTACTTGGAAGGGAAAATATTCAATAGCCTGACTTGTTTCTGTCAGTATTACTTTCCTAAGTAAAATTACTAATTACTGTGGGTAATGTAACATCATGAATGCTGCTCTCTTTGGCGGTGTATTAGAATCTCAGCTTGCGTTTGGAGGCCCTTATATTCTAGATGTTCTACGATGGCTGTAAGAGGATTGTGACCCCCAGGCTCCAGAATCATGCTTTTCAGATGCATACTTGTACTGCCTTTGCCTAAGATATAGTTAATTTTCTTCACAGCAGCTGGTACGGTGCTATGTTTTGAATTTGTGACAGAAACAGTCTTGATGTTTTGGTTATTGCTGAACAGTGCTTACACAGCCTCAACGCCTTTTCTGTTTCACATACTCCCCCCACAGCCAGGGGTTAATCCACAACAATACTTTAAGTACTGGAGGAGAAATCAACCTCTCCACCAATTAATTAATTGTCTAGCAAGTGACATTTAGCTTTCCGTTATGTATGTACTGTTCTCCAGTGGAAACAAAGATGCCAACGGTTGATAATTTAGCCATCAGTTTTCACCTTGGGGATTGTTTGGATCACGGTTCAGAACTGCATAGCGAGGAAGTAAAATGCCTTCAGCTTTAAGAATACCGTATACTTCTCTCCTAGAAGAAAAGAACAAAGGTTGCACAGTAAGACAAGAAAAATACATACAAATTTTTTTTTTAAATCACACAGGATAAGATTACATATATAATACTCTACTTATTAATATAATGCTTTAAAGGTCACTGATACAGCTGTACCTTTGCAGTGACCTCATCAGTATCAATAAAAATGTAATACGCTATGCCAGTCCTGTCCTCTCCACTCTGGCAGTGCAACAGCAATTTACACAGAACAATTCTCTTGTTAAAGGAGATTAACATGAAGGGTTGAAAAAATTTATACAGGACAGCAACTTGAAGGCATCCAAAATAGCAAGTCTGCTCACTGTTCAGAAAGTTCCAATGTTTATGTATTTTGCTCACTATTGTTTTGTTAATATTTGCTATGCATGATTGCAGCCCCAAAAGAAAATTCACTTTGAATAACCACATGATCTTTGAATACCAACAACTTCTGTTAAGTATCCACTTAACAGAAAAGACCTTTAGTAAGTCTTGAATTCTACAGTTACAAGAGGTTGTTCAGTTGCGATACATAGCTATGCTATACATATTTTCAGAGTGTAAACTTTTTTATTTGCTAAGCTTTAGACAAACGTATCACCAAATTTCTACCTTAGTAAGTCTTCAGAGATATCAATATAAAAGCCGTAAAAGAAAAAACACCTTTAAAGACATATCCCAGAAAACTATGCATACATTAATATAACATAACATTCACTGTAATTTTATTTAGATTACTGTACAATACACGGGAACTGTTGCTATGCAATACCAACAGATTCTCATAGTCTCCGACTTAGAAGTAGTTTGCTGTTTACAGGTAATTAATGTTACTTACCTGTCTTGTATGTGATACTGCATATTCAAGTCATTGATTATGAATGGATTCCTGAGTTTTGCATAGGCAACTGCTTTGTCCAGTGGAAATCCTAAAATATTTATTAAGGCAAATAAATTAAAACTACAAGACACAACATCAGCAAACCGTTTGGAACCTTCATAATCAAGCTTTAGAGTACAATCAGAGATATGGCTGCAGTAGGAGGATGCTCCCTCAACCAAAGACAAACATAACATCAGCTTAAGACTGAAAGTCATGAAACTACAGCCTAATTTCAATATAGGCTGCCAAAAGTAGTGGTCCAATTCCCTCCTCCTCATTCCACATGCCCTCTACTTCCATAGGGCCAGAACTAAGTTTTATTGCCTCTGCCTGAAAATATGATTTTTAACTTCAGTCTACTCATCTTTGTTTCACTGCCCAGCCCCCAAAAAAACCCTAGATATTAGCAGAGATACATGAACAAGTGGCCAGAGACCCAACACTCTGATTAAGAAAGTAGCATGCCTTCACAGTTATTGGACCAAGGAAGTATTACATCACCATTTCCACTGGCTCCACAAATATTTACCAATGGAATAGCTATTTTAAATACTATGTCAGACAGGACTTTCTCAAGAAATGAAACCAGTATCATTTAAAAAGCTTTTATTTTAAAAATCAGTTGTATTATATTAAACAAGACAAATGAATCGCTTCCTAGGAAAATCCGATAAAATTACAAGACAAAAAAAAAAAAAAAGACTCTCAAACTAGTTAAAGTATTTTGATGTCAAAAATATTTATGGTATTATTAGAATATTTACCTTTAGAATGAAAAGAAATGAGACAGTCACATAAAGGCCAGTTTTCTACTGGCTCATTCAAAATAACATCCTCTTCAAATATTACCACAGTTATGTACTTAAACATGGAGAGGCGTTCAAGAATTTCTTTCATTGGTTTGGACTTAGATTTTTTAGCCATTGAACAAATCCCAACTGCGATTTGTCTTTCTGGTGGCTAAAGAGGTGAGGAAAAAAGCAATTATTATTTTTAAGTTTTCTCAGAACACAACAGGGGTTTAGCAGCACAATGCTAGAGCAGATATTTTCTGTTAAAATTCACATACCACCTTTAATTTAGTTTTTAATCAAGTAAATTGCTAGCAGGCAACAAAATGCAGCATGAAAGCACGCTGCACTGCATCCTTATGAAAAATGTCTCAAAAAATGAAACTTCAACAGCTCTACACTACTTTTTGTGAGTATCGTACCACAAACAAATACACAGGATCAAAATCTAAGTCAGAAATGTCAAATCTGAATGAAATCATACTTATGGCTTACTCTGAAATTAACTAGCAATTCATTTTTAAACTATTTAATTTTTCTACATCTACTTAGTAGTCACAAGGCTTCTCATCTTATTACCTAATATTACAAGTGAATTATGAAAACTAGTAAATCAGAAAATACTATTCTAGATTTCTGAGCTATTTTGTGCATAGTTCCACTTTTCTTCTGTATACTCTATGGTTTTTTTCATGTTACAAGCTTTTAAAAATTTCTTTCCCCCAGTGGTCTAAAAAGAAACAAACAAAAAAAATAATGCTAGACAACATACAGAATAGAACACACATGCTCCTACAATACATACAGAGTCATACTCTTCCTCCTCTTCTTCCCCATGGTCATAGAAATGTTCGTAATCTGTAGATCTGGCTGAATCCAATAATTCTTCTCCATCTTCTCCACCCACGAAGAATCTAGGAGGATCATTCTCGGTTGCACTAACAGACATGGTTACAAGATCTATAAAGACCTATGCAGAAACTGCAGCTGCTTGGGCAGCTGAGATTGACTCGGGAACACAAAAGTCCCCTGCTCTTTGATGTTGCTTGTGCGGTGTTGCCACTGTGATGACGTTGTCTGCCAGACACTGTTTCACTGGTATCATCTACTCATTATTGGTTTCAATTGCTGCTCCAAGAAATCCACAATAGGCTACTGCTTCCCTGAGATGATACAACAACTTTTAACCTAAAAGAAATATCCAAACAAAAAACAAAAAGAAAAAACACACTTGATAAAGGCACATAAAAATAAACCCTTCTCATTTACAAAAAGCATTTGGACATTTACATACCTCTGAGCAAAGCATCAGAAATAAAACCATGCACACTACACACAATCCACACTTTTACATGTATGTTTAGAGCAGGGGAATAATTTCAAGATATTTTCAAACTACTGACGCAGACATTTTAAAAACAGACAATATAACTCACAAAAGTAAAAACTGTCGAATGCATTTTCTTCCTAACTTAAGAAGGATGAAGTGCAGAGTATATCTTTTATACAAAAAGTAAAAGAACAAAAATCTTCTCCAATACTTGTGATGTTTAACTCACCATCCCTGCATCAGCTGTTTTTTCCCCAAAAGTTTCCTGATCAAATGGCAATGGCAAACAGACAAAAATGCTGATGAAAACTATAAAGCCTCCATTAGGACTATATTTAAATAGAAACCTATTGTTTAAAAAACTGAGTCTTCAGTGTGAAAGTAGAATGTATGTGCCAGCTTGATGTTTGCTTTTTTATTTCCAACAAAGCATTGCTTTATTTTCACACTGAAAAATTAATACTTACAAAGATGTATACTAGCACCGCCTTCTGTCAGAAGTACTTCTAAGCACTAATGTACTAGTGAAGTGAACACATATTGTACCCTTTTAACCAGTCGTGAAAATAAAATCTTGGGTCAAGTAACTTGTATACAGAAACAGAGACTCAGAGCTCAGTCTTCTGTTGTTTTAACTAGGTAACTGTTCTTGCTGTAAGTTGTGCATGGCTTTATACCATTAATTATAATCCATTATTACTACTTAGAAAATTAACAAGCAATTACTTGTTTAGAAGCTCATCTGATCAAACGCTTTAGGTTGTTTATTAGTCGGATCATTACATAAGTGCCATTCAACAGTGATGTCTCAGCAGAACTGAATTTGTCTTTAAATATCTGTCAAAATTACTTTGGCTGTTCTATGAACAAAGTGAAGCAATAGTAAATAGCAAATAGTAAATGGTGATCAACCATTCAGGTTCCTGTGAAAGAGGGTGGTAAACAGAGCAAAAGTTACCCAGAAAGAATCTGTCCGAAATCAGAGAGCAATAGGTTAAGCGTGGGTAAAGAATACAGCTGTTTCAGATCCAGAAGCTGAAGCTGAGGTCCGAACAACAGATCCTGGAGTGACAGCAGGGGATTAAAAAGATTAATTTCTTAAACGTATTTGTTATGTATCTGCTCTCCTTCAATTCCGCTAATGAAAAATTACTTTCCCTTATAATGTGAAACTACAGCCATTTGTCCTTCAAGCAACAAGAACAAAATGAAATTTCAAACACCTAATTCAACCTGCTCCCAATAGAGTTAGAAATTAGGTATTGAGATAAATCAATCCTGTTTATGAAAGGGTAAAGAAAGCGAGCTTTCCAAATCCTATTTCTAGCAAGCTTCAGAAAGGCAGCGGTTATTGCCAACACATACTGGCAACTAATACAGAATTTTGAAATGGTGTTCAAAACAGAAAAGACCCCAAAAAACTGGTAAGACCTGAAAATGAAGTTTAACAGTTCCTCTTGCATCAGCTTCCCCTCCCCCCACCCAAATTCTGTAAATTGGAAACAAGTGTCTGAACAGCTTTTTAAAACCTAAGGTTTTCTCATAAAGAAGGAAAAGCAACCACTTGAACAGATAAGCAGGAGGTCATCAAAAGAGGTTTTTTCAGCTTTCTTTCCCCTGCCTATTCCTGTAGCGCACTTTGCGAGAGCAGAAGTTGTGAAGTTTGTGTACAATTAATGACTAGGTATTTCATGAGGATCTCTGGCACTCCCTGAGTCTCTCTAACCCCAAGTGATTACTTCTCAAAGCAAGTAGAAACCATACAAATAAAGATCGAAGGGAAAGCACAACATATTTGTCTACAAATGACACAAAGATATAACCTGACAATCCTAATTCCTTAACAAACCTATCTGAAACAGCTTTTTTCTACCTTCCTAACTCAAGAATCTGGAGAGTGTCTGTGTTATTGGCGGCAAGTAGACCTTCAAGTGGAGCTTCACTTGCAGAAAACAGGCTTTGAACAGTCACATAGTCTGCTTGGAGTTAACAGATTATTTTCTGCAAGGTTATTACTTTGTTCACCCGTCTGAAGGCAGACGAATTACTAGATTGCCACTCCATGCTATTGGCACTGGGCCCCAGAGTTTTTGGTTTGTAAAATAAGACCAAAGACACAGGATCAAGAAAAGATACTGACACTTTTCAGGCTTGTAAACTACTGCATGTACTCATTGAATTGCATATAAATTGGCATTCTGACTGCTGATGATCACCAGCTTATCTCCCAGATAGCAGATGCCGTAAGCTACTATCATTAGCATTAATCTGAGTCAGGATATAATGAATAAGTTATTTATTTTTTAGAATAAATGCTTTCAGAGATGGGATTTAAATTCTTTCCCTCCAAATGCTTTGGCTATTATAAAAATTGAGAAATCCCCTTCTTTCTTGTAGTGTGTGAAATAAAAAGAGCCCAAGAAAAGAGACATGGAAAGAGAAATATGAGAATTAATGACTGCAACTACCGTGAACAACTTACACAAGTCTCCTCGTGTAAGGAGTCAAAAATGCAGTAAGACTGTGCTTGGATAAAAACGTGGTTCTCAACTTGTACACCAAGGAGAAATAATAAATGGCAGAACAAGAAGATGGAGCTGTCATCCTGCCCCAGAAGTACTGTCAGTGCTGATGGGAGAAACTGGTGCCCTATGCAGAATTCCATCTCACTGCCCCTGGAGCCTGGAAGAGTCTTCCCAGTACCATTTTTCTGTATTAAGAAGTGAGCAGCAGCAGCAATATAGAGGCAGAGACGCTCTATGTTAGATCCTCTCGCACTTGGTGCATGAGCATAAGCCTCACCAGACAGTGAAGATTAGAAGATTACATGCATGCCTCAGCCATGGAAAATTGCAATGTAAGCAAGACAAAACCCAAAGCTTTGTGCTGGAATATACAATGACCCATTTCCAAAGAGATAGCATCAAGTATATCCAGGCAACAATCTCCTACCGTGCAATGACCTTTCCAGGTAAAATTAATTAGACTATGTTCCCTTCAAACCTCAGCTGTTACACAAGACTTCTGTTTTACAGCTTACAGATTAAAAAATCTCCACTAATTTTGAAAAACACAATTTAACTAACAGCGTTGTTTCCTAAAAGAGCTTCCAACCAAACGTATGGCCTGTTCATTCCACCTGTCCTAAAACTTCCTACTCATGACCACCCCATGATACATCTTGACCAAAAAAAAAAAAAGGGAAAAAAAAAAAGAAAATGTTTAAAGAAAACAGGAAATCTGCTCATTCTATATTCTCATCTTAAAATAAACCCATGTCAATTTTTCCCTAATAGGTTAGAAGGCACTAAAATGGCACGCTGCAAAGGAGAAGTAAAAATCCTTAAGTTTAACCACTATTATTATCACTTATTAGCGGAAAGTATACAAAATAGCATTCTAAATACATAAAATGACACATAGACAAACTTAACATTAACATACAAATAGGACTGTATTTGAATCACAGATTTCGGTAGCCTGCTAAGTACTCCAAGTCCAAGTGTTCACTGCAGTGGCACACTACAGACTTTTTTTCTAACAGAACATTTCTCCACTTCCACAAGCATATTCTAAAGGAATTCCACAAGTATATTCTAAGAGAATAAGCCAAAATGTAGTCCTCACTAAGTGTTAACAAATATTCCCACAAATAGTTTTCCTGTCCCCATTCCACATGTTTCAGCAGCTCAGGAATCCAGCCCTGGTGTTTCCCATATTTACTTAGACGAAAAGATTAGCATTCCAGTAACTGTCAGCAACAAATCAGCTCAACATAGCAGCAGTGCTTTAACAGTCATGTAAAAGAGGCTCAAAGTTTTAACAGCTATGTTACGAATACGAATAAAAACATATACAACTCCTGTATAAACAGAAGCATTTCACCAGGTTTTGTGTCGCTACAGCTATCAGAAGAACAAATACACGCTGCCTCTACTGCACTCTAATGGAAACGAAGGGAACAAAACGAGAGTAGAAATGCTTCTCATACGTTATCTCACGAAACAAGCCAACACATTATACATTAAATAGCTATAAAACATTTCTAAATCACGAACGACTCAAGAAAACAACTTTTGAAAATGCCATTATAACAAAAAAACTACAAAACACTTTGTGACACTTACATTGTGGAATTTAACAAACAGGTAACTGTACAAGAAGCCTAAGTGGTGCTCATCTGTTACATGATTCTGTACATATATATACATAATAACAACAGAACAGCCCACTCCCCTGCACCCTCTCCCCCATTGCTACCTTAAAAGTTTCAGTTCTTACCACTGTAGGCGTATTCAAACTGCATCCATCACCAGCTTCCTCCAATTCAAACTAAGTAGTTAAAACCCGAATGATTTTAATAGCAATTTTTCAGGTAGTCTCAGGGGGATGACAAAAAGCTTTCTACATCTTCCTGCTAGAACCACTATACCTAACATTTTCATTAATAGTACATTTAACTGCAAAAACGTTTGCCTCACTCCTGCTGACGCATTTTACCGGTTTTAAAATTCCAATTCTGCAACATGATTTCTGGTGTAACAAACCACCAACGACAGACAGTTTCTTGGGTTGCTGGTGGAGCAGAAAGTATGGGGAGGGGGCAAGGGTGAAGCAGA